GACGTCGTTTTCATTTTCTCCTCGACGCGGGGCTTGAGGGCTTTCGACCCTGGGGCCGTATGGGAGAGGCCTTACGGCCAGTGCCGCCGATCCTGGACGACGACGACGACGACGAATACGACGAATACGACGACGACGATGACGACGAAGACGACGAAGACGACGACGGCGACGAATTGTTGGCTTGTTCAGTGAACGTAGTTTTGGTCGCGGGTGGGTCGCGAGCTCTCCACCTCCACCTGGAAAGAATTCGCCGCATGCGCCGAAAATTTTGATTTGTACACTGAACGCGGGTTGGGTCGCAGGTTCTCCACCTGGAACGAATGCACAAGAAACCCGCCGCAGGCGCCGAAGTTTTGGCTTGTTCAGTGAACGGAGATTGGGTCGCGGGGTGGGTCGCAGGCTCTGCACCTCCACCTGTAAGGAATTCAAAAAAAGCCCGCGCAGGCGCCGAACATTTTGTTTTGTACACTGAACGCGGTTTGGGTCGCGGATGGGTCGCAGGCTCTCCACCTGGAACGAATGCAAACGAAACCCGCAGCAGGCGCCGAAAATTTTGGGTGGCTCGCGGGGTGGGTCGCGGGTGGGTCGAGGGTGGGTCGCGGTGCGTCGCGGGTGGGTCGCGGGTGGGTCGCGGGTGGGGCGCGGTGGGTCGCGGGTGGGTCGCGGGTGGGTCGCGGGTGGGTCGCAGGGTGGGTCGCGGGTGGGTCGCGGATGGGTCGCTGGTTGGTCGCGGGTAGGTCGCCGGGGGGTCTCGGGGTGGGTCGCGGGCGGGTCGCGGGGTGGGTCGCGGGTGGGTCGCGGGGTGGGTCGCGGGTGGGTCGCGGGATGGGTCGCGGGTGGGTCGCGGGGTGGGTCGCAGGTGGGTCGCGGGTGGGTCGCGGGGCGGGTCGCGGGTGGGACGACGACAGCAACAACAAGAATCCGCATCGCGGAGTTCCACTTCAGCCACGCACCCAGGGACAGTGAATGACCGTTCGGTTCAGCCCCCTCACTCTGATAACAAAAGCGGCCCCCGCCGCCGCAGTTTACTCTGGCGCAGAGCTCTCGACACGCAGGAACCGCGTTCTCGCCTAGGCCTCCTTACGATTTGCTGAAGAACCTCGCTCTCGCCACTCAGGGGTTGCACTCTCGCTTAATTGTTGTTTGGCAATTACCGATGGAATCGCGCGCTCACCCGGAATTCCTCACGATCTGTTCAGGACTCGCGCTTTAGTGCTCCGCCCGTCCGATCCGCCCGCGAGGGTCCGCCCGCCCGACACGCCCGCTGGGGCCCGCCCCTTCGGAAGCCCCCGCTTCCTCATAACCTGCCCAGTTGGCTCTCATGCCCCGCCCGTCCTGCCCGCCCCTGCAGGTCCGCCCGCCCGTTCCGCCCGTGGGGGGCCCACCCGCCGGACCCACCCGCTCACGCCCCGCCAGCCCAGCAGTTTGGAAGCTCGCCCGCCCGCTCCAGTGTTCGGCATCGCTGAACCGACCCCCATCCCCGAGTTATGTAGCTTGCTTCTGCCTTGAGTTAAGTTCAGAAAGCCAGTATCATCTGGAAAATGCGTCTCGACGGCCGACGGTTCCTCCTAATTTTCCAAAGCTGTGCTGTAGCTACAGCCCTGAGGCTTTCACCACTGAACGCGAGGGAATAAAAATCTGGGTTCCCAAAACGAACGGTCAAATCTCTCGCAATCTTCTCAAAACCGACCACAGGTCACCACATCGGTTCCCATCCCCATCCGGACCCCCACCACCTCAGCTCCCCAGTCGGGGATGTGCCCCCCGAAGCCCGAAAGGAACGTCCTGCATCCCCACCTGGGGGGGGGGGTCTCAAGCGGCCAGTGGGGCCCGGGCCACGTTCACGGGGATAGGGCCTTTCTCAACCGATGCTCAAATGTCCCGCCTGCCCGCCCCGCCTATCAGGGTCTGCACGCCCTGCCCGCCCGGTAGGGTCCGCCCGCCCGATCTGTCTTAGAATGTCAGTGTTCACCCTGGAGCCGGCATGTAAGAGGGAGCCCCCCCCAAAGGGGCTCCGATCATAATCGAGAGGACGGGGGTCGAGAGTTAGACTGAATGAAGCCTGTTTCCTTTCGTCCCCCTCCTGCTGACTTCCTCCTTCCCTCCTCGCTCTCTCCCATGTTCCTGCCTTCCTCGTCTTCCTACTTTTTGGGCCGCGCCAATTATATGTGACAGGCAGCGAAGACATGCCCCTCCAAAGGGGCACGATTGAAGACGAATGGGGGCGGGTACCGAGGGCTTTTGGTGGGGTGCTCAAGTCGAATGACATGCGAGTAGCGGAGAGCGAACAGATCAGACGAAATGTAATCGGTTGCTTCCGCGTGTCTCGAGCTCGTCGTCGTCGTCGTCGTCGTCGTCGTCGTCGTCGTCGTCGGCATCATCGTCGCGAACGTTTTCAGATGTGTTGAACTCCTCTTTCTCTTTCGTCCCCCTACTGCTGATTTCCTCCTTCCCTCTTCGCTCGTGAACAGTCTTATCGTCTGTGTTATGGTTTCGATCTCAGTGTTTAGGGGTCACCCGCGGACTCCTCCTCGCGCTCCCACCTCCGCTCTGCATCTGCCCAGCCCTCCACAGGTAGAGAGGCGCTTCAGCAGCACCCCTGAGGAGCCGCACGCCTAGGAGGGCGCGACCAGATCTGGTCGACCCAGGATTGGTTTCGCCAGCGTGTCTCGAGCTTCTCGTCGTCGTCGTCGTCGTCGTCTTCGTCGTCGTCGTCGTCGTCATCGTCGTGGTCGGCGTCGGCGTCGGCGTTGGCGTCGGCGTCGGCGTCGGCATCGGCCTCGTCGTAGTCGTCGCCGTCGTCTTCGTCGTCGTCGTCCTTCTTGTCTACGTCATACCGAGTTCGAGGTTCGAGATCCGATTTCCGACGTCCGACGTTTTTGGATGTGCTCGTCGGTTCCCAAATGTTTTCCAGATTCGGGGGTGCTTTTCAGCAGCTGCGGGGGTGCCCAGATCGCCCCGAACGGCCGAGTCATGATTCGGGGGTGGCCAGAGTCATGATTCGAAAACCGGACCTCTTCGCGTCGTGAAACACATGATCGACGAAAGGCTTTGTCCAATGTTCGGCCGCAGGGGACCCTCACTGGCCCCAGGACCGTCAAATACTCGATCAGGATGAAGAACCAGGCCCCAGGAAGAGGTCCAGACCTCTGCGAAGAAGCCACGGAGTAGGATGTCTGGGATTCTCCAGTTTCGAACATCGGGAATGGAATGTCGAGGCTCGAAGGTCTTCGGGGGTCGAAAATCTTTGAGGTGGGATCGGTGGTCGAAGATCCTCGAAGTTCGAAGACCGAGATTCGAAGACCGAGATCCGAAGATCGAAATTCGAAGATTGATGACGGTCGAGGATCGAAGTTCGAAGATTGGGTTCTCCTGCTCTCCTCTTGGTCTTCGCTCTACTCCCCCTCCTCCTGGGTCCAGCTCGGCTCTCATTTCAGTGTGGCTGGGCTCACGCTTCGGTCTTCCTCCTCGGCCTTTGTGGAGAAGAGATCAGAGATGATGAAGAAGATGATGAGGATGAGGATGATACGGATGATGATGTTGCTGATGATGATGCTGGTGATGACTATGACGATGCTGATGGTGATGATGCTGATGGTGGTGATGATGATGCTGATGACCATGATGATGACCATGGTGATGTTGATGGTGATGACACGATGATGATGGTGATGTTGATTGTGATGATGCTGCTGTTGATGACGATGACGCTGCTGATGATGATCATGATGATGATGATGCTGCTGTTGATTGTGATGATGGCGACGGTGATGATGACGATGCTGAGGATGGTGATGTGATAGGGGATAATGACGGTGATAACATGTTGCTTTTGATGATGATGGTGCTAATTGAAGATGCTGCTAATGATGCCGCTGCTGATGATACTGATGCTGATGATGCTGCTGCTGAGGATGATGATGAAGCTGATGCTGCTGCTGATGATGATGATGATGATGATGATGATGATGATGATACTGATACTGACGATACTGATACTGATACGGATGATGATGATGATGATGATGATGATGATGATGATGATGATGATGATGATGATGATGATGCTGCTGCTGCTGCTGCTGCTGATGATGATGATGATGATGATGATGATGATGATGATGATGATGATGATGATGATGAGGGTGATCATGCTGATGGTGAGGACCAGGAGGAGGGAGAGAAGGAGGGGGGAGGAGAAGGTGGAGAAGGAGGAGGATGAGGTAGAGGAGGGGGAGGGAGGAGGAGGAGGAGGAGGAGGAGGAGGAGGAGGAGGAGGAGGAAGAAGAGCAGGAGGAGAGGAGCAGGAGTAGGAGTAGGAGTAGGAGGAGGAGGAGGAGGAGGAGGAGGAGGAGGGCCAGGAGGAGGAGGAGGCGGAGGAGGAGGAGAACGTGGGGGATGAGGAAGAGGATTTTAGTTGGACGTCCAGGGGAGCTCTCCGGCATTCTGCAGAGTTCTTGGTGGTTCTAGGGGTTTCGCAGGAGGAGGATGGCCAGGGGAAGGAGCAGGAGCAGGAGTCAGCCAAGCTAGCTCGAGCGTGTCAGCAGGCCCATTCAGTTCCCAAGATGCCTGTCGTAGCAACAACATTAACATCAACATCAACATCATCATCATCATCATCATCATCATCAGCATCAGCATCAGCATCAGCATCATCATCATCATCCTCATCCTCATCCTCATCCTCATCCTCATCCTCATCTTCATCCTCATCCTCATACTCATCATCATCCTCATCATCATCAGCATCATCATCATTATCATCATCTGTACAATCACTGTCATCAGCAGCATCATCATCAGTATCGTCGTAATCGTCGTCATCATCATCAGTATCGTCGTAGTCGTCGTCGTCGTCGTCGTCGTCATCATCATCATCATCATCAGCATCATCATCGTCATCATCACCGTCATCAATGCCGACGCACTTGCATGGCGCGCAACTCTCATCCCATGATGTGGAAGGCGCTCGGGCGCACCGCGCGCGGCCCGGCCTCCGACGCCCTGGCGAAGCAAGCAGGCAGTCGGCAGCGAGACCATCACAACTCCTGTCGAGAGCGTTCTCCGAGTGGCCCTGGCAGGACCCGCGGAGACACGACCTGGCACCGCGCCCGCTCGGGAGCGCGGCATCCGGCACGGCGCTCCAGCACAGCGCTTAGGCCCACGCGGGGGCGCGATCGAACTCTGCACAGCGCTTCGGCGAGAACGATGTTTCGCTCTCCCGAGCACGGCACCGATCATGATGCTTGCCCACAGCGGCGGTGCCCTTCTCAGGCAGAATCTGCACCGGCGCATCGGCGACAGCGGCATTCGTCCGTTCGCGCGCCTTCCGCTGCGGACGAGCTAGCGAGCCGGGAAGGCACGCCGCGCCCGAAGCGCAGTTTTTAGAACAAGCATGCGCGGCGTTGATGTGAGAGCGGCATTTCGCCCTTTCGCGCGCGATGTGCGTCGCTTCCCGTTCTTGCCACACCGACGACAAGGCATCCATGTTGAAAGGGGAAGGCCGGCTCTGCATTGCTTCTGATGGATAGGATGGAAGGACCTAGATGAGGCGGCAATCGGTTTGAGAGGTCGTAGAATGGGAGTGTTCTATATATACATATATATACACATACATATATATATGTATATATACACATACATATTGTGGAGTAGGCCGGGGGTGGGGGCCGGGCCGCTACCTGTTCCCCCCGCAGGTGCCCGCCAGGGGTTCTGGGGGGCCTCCCGAGCTCCCGAGGCGGCCCGGGCTCGCCCCGAAACAGGCCACGACAGGCTACTGTAGGTTCGTGTCGTGTCGACCGGCGGCGACCCCGCCGCCGACGTTCAACGTTGAACGCCGACGGCGGCCCAGAATCGGTCGATGTTGAACGATTGGACGTTGCGGAGACGGCCGATCGTTCAAGGTTGAACGATCCAGCGCGGTGTCAGGAACCAACGCCAGGGTCGACACAGCACGAACCTGCAGTAAGGGGATCCCAAGAGGGCCCAAGACGATCCCAAGAGGCCCCGAAGGCGCCCCAGATGCCCTCAAGACAGCCGGCGAGGACTCCAACACGCTTCAGGACGGACTCAAGACGCTCCCCAAGAGGGCCCTGAGAGGGCAACATTCATTTATTTCCTCTGGGTTTTGGAAGGACTGTGGCGTTCTCGCTTTTCCCGCTTCCCAGCGGTCTTCCACGGCCTCGGATGCCCTTCAGATCGCTCCAAGACGGCCCACGAGGCCCCTAAGAGGGCGCCCAGACGGCCCAGGAGGCTCCCCAGGCAACCCACGTGTGCCCCAAGAGCGCCCCAAGAGGGGACCGCGAACCGATATTTCGAGGTCTCTGGCCCCTGGATGCCCCCAGTAAGCCCCTGGACACCAAGAGGCTCCCACGAAACCCCATGAGGCCCCCAAGAGGCCCCCAGGAAGCCTCAAGAGGCCCCCAAGGGGCCCCCAGGGAACGCCCAAGAGGTCCCCCCCCAACACACCCCAACAAATCATGTCTCCAGAAAGCTTTCCGAGGACATTGTTCACCATGGGCAAAAACGATAAGCACATGTTGAAAAGGAACCGCCCTCCTTCGGTGAAGCCCTGGGAAATGTTCAAGACGTCTGTGCGCGGCGCTTAAGCCAGAACCGCATTCTGGTTAGGAGCCGCACGTTATCAGTGAAGGTCTTGCAAGCATGTAAGACGAATGTTCGCGGCGCTAGGGCGAGAACCACATGTTTCCAAGGAGACGCCCTCCATCCATGAACTTCTGGCAAGCTTTTGAGATGAATGTGCGCGGTGCTGGGGCGAAAGCCACATCTTGAAATGGAGCCGCCCTTCGTCCGTGAATGTCCGCGGCGCCATCGCGATAACCACGTTGTGAAAACGACCCGCCCTCCATCTGTGACATTGTTTCCAACCTTTACGGGAAACAGCTGCAACTCGTAAGGTTCGGGATCGTAGGTGGTGCGGAAGTCTCAGGCGCCACGCCCGGCCTGCCCTACCGACACGTCTCGGGCTGCGGCCGGGAGGAGCAATTCATCAGTCAAAGAGATGGAGCAGGAGGCAGGACGCAGGAGGCGGAGGCCGCGGAGGCGGGGGCCGAGGCGGAGGCGGAGCGAGGAAGAGGGAGGAGCGAGGGGGGCAGGGGTGGCGCGGCGGAGGGCAGGAGGGACCCGGGGAGCCGGCGCTCGCAAGAGCAGCGATGCCCAGCGTCTGCGGCCAAGGTTCTGCGAGAGGATGGACGTCCACCTGGGCAAGGCCACCGTGGACCCCGACGGATCCTTCGTCTGGAGGCCCCCCCGTCCCCCCCGCAGCAGCGGGCGCGGCAGTCGGCGCCCCGCGGGGCGGCCCGAGGGCCTCCCGAGGGGCCTCCCGAGGGGCCTCCGCGGGGGGCCTCCGCGGGGGGCTGCGCTCGGGCTGCTGCTGCTCCGCCCTCTTGCCTCCTTCGAGGAGGGGGAGGGAGGATGGGGGGCCAGGGGGGCAGGATCAGGAGTAGGAGCAAGAGCAGGAGGAGCGAGAGGTGGAGGGCAAGTGGAGGAGGAGGAGGAGGAGGAGGAGGAGGAGGAGGAGGAGGAGGAGGAGGAGGAGGAGGAGGAGGAGGGGGAGGGGGAGGGGGGAGGGGGGATGGGGGGGAGGGAGGAGCAAGGATGCAGTGCTCTCCCCCCTTTTGGCAGGCAACCGGGCAGCGACTCCAAGATCATCATGTACGCAGAGGACAGCCGCGTCAAGGTGATCGGGCGGCCCAACCAGGCGTGTCCCCCGAGGAAGGAGAAGGAGGAGACCTCCCTGGCCCTCCTCGGCTATCCGTTGTCCTCCTGTTGCTCCTCCTCGTGTGGTCCCCTCCTCGCCCCTGCCCCTGCCTCCGGAGCGCCCCTGCGGAATCATCCGGCCGGCGCGAGCGGCCCACGGTGAAATTTCCTGGCCCCACGGAGCCCCACGAAGCGCGCGGGGAGGGTGGGCAGCAGGCCCTCGGATCAAGGCAAGTGGCTGCAGCAGGAGGAGGAGGGTCCCAGGACCGAGGGTCGAGGGTAAATGTGTGGGTTGATCGGATTGATCCAAAAGAGGGTCCAGCTGAAAGGGGATGGTCCAATAGATCTGGTGCAACCGATTTGTGGGGTTGCAATACGTCTGGGGCGTGCAATACATTCCGTGGTCCAAATGTACTGCTGGATTTTCGCGTGCAGAACATTACTTGCAATACAAATGCAAAACCATTTTTCTGGCGCAAAACGTTTGCAATACGATTGCCCCAAATCTATTGCACCACACCCTTTGAGCTGGACCCCTTTTTGGGTCACCCAAAGTTGAGCGTTGTCATTCTGTCTCAAGCCCCGCTGGGCGCCTTCTCGTCGCAACGGCTGCAGTTCCTTGGGGATGTTGGGTTGAGCCCGTCGTCGTCTTTGTCGTCGTCGTCGTCGTCGTCGTCGTCGTCGTCGTCGTCGAGGTTCCATGTTCGAGGGTATATGGTATCGGGTGCCCCCGTGACCAGGTCCGGATTCTCTTCGAAATTCTAGCCAGACGGTACCCCAGATAGGGTCAAGCGATTTTCGACCCAGACGCCGTCCCGCCCCGCCGGGAGGGGGGGTCGTCGTCTTCGTCGTCGCTGTCGTCGTCCTTGTCCTCGTCATCGTCGTCGTTCTCCAATTCGTCGTCGTCGTCGTTTTCCTCGTCCTCGGCCTCGTCTTCGTCCTCGGCCTCGCCTTGGCCGTCGTCGTCGTCGTCGTCGTCGTCGTCGTCGTCGTCGTCGTCGTCCTCATTTTGGCTCAAGGCAGCTCTGGAGATCGCACGTCCGTCCAGGCGGCCCCGCCTGGATCTGAGACAGGAGTTTCTGGCCACTCTCGAGTTTGAGCCATCCTCGCGCGCATTTTGCAGCGACCCTGGATGGCTTTCGCGAATGCCCCGCCGCCCGTGCCGCTCGCTGGCGCGGTCGCTGACGCACCTGGCCAGGCCTGGGAGCGGGATCAGCGGCGCAAGACGGGACTGAGCACAGGTGTGGTCGCGATGGAGGATCGGGACACTGACGATGACATCGCCCCCCTCGAGGTCCAGCGTGCTGTGCCCGCCCAGGCCGTCGTGCCGCAGGCCGCCCCGAGCCCTCCTACTGACCCAGCACAGCTAGGGCTGGCGCAGTATATCATCGGGGCCCTCAACCAGTCGATGGGGGTGAAGTTGGACGGACTGCAGACTCGTGTCGACGCCCTGCAGCGCACTTCAGAGGCTAGCAGCCGCGACATCTCCGCGGTGCAGGCCAGACTGAGGGCGCAGGAGGTCAGACTGGAGGCTCTCGAGGCGGGCCGCTCTTCTGCGAGTTCGGTCGGACCGAGAGCGGGCTTGGGATCTGCCTCCCACGTGAGCGGCCAGCCTGATCCGCGGGGTGCGTACCTGGATCAGCAGCGCGCAGGCGGGATGCCACCGCCGACGGCGCGGCCGCGAGGAGGAAAGAACTGCAAGCACATGGTGTTCGTCGCGGGCTTCCCTGGCACGTGGGATAAGGATGAGGTTGAGAAGCACTTGCGTACGGAGCTCGCCAGGGCGATCTCCCTAGAGGCGCAAGGGATCACGGAGATCTACGGGGTGGGGCGGTTCTGCGACCAGGCCAAAGTGGTCTTCGCGAGCAATCAAAAGATGTGGGGTTTCATGAAGCGCTGGAAGGGCCAGGAGATTCCATGCCCTGGAGCGCGCAACGACAAGCTGTGGCACAAGGTTGACCAGGAGCCCCACGAGGTGGAGCTCCCGCGGCGGGTCAGCTGCGCGGTGAGGATCCTGCGCGAGTTCGGCATCCAGTCGGGGTTGTGCACGGAGGAGTCGAAGCAGCGGACTTTCGACGGCGACTGGGACCGCGGACAGGTGGTTTTCCGCAAGAACAGTACGGAGAGGCCAGTTCGCCTGCTGCAGCGCTCCAGGACGTCAGACATGCTCGAGGTCAGCACCGACGCCCTGGCAGCGGCTGCCTTGGACCAGGAGCTCAAGGACCTCAAGCTGCACGAGCGGCTGAGCGAGATCAGCGGCCCTCCGAGGCTCCAGTGATTTCGAGTACGGGGCAGGCGCTACGTTAAGGACATCAGGGACCTCACAGTTCTGGGGTGGAATGCGAGAGGTGTCCTTGCGAAGCGGCGCCGTGCCGTGCTCGAGTCGCTGACCGACGAATTCGATGCTAGTCTGATCCTTTTTCAAGAATGGTGCGTTGCTGGTGGAGCTCAGCAGACTTATGACGGCTATGTTGTGCACGTGTCGCCTCCATCGGGGGCTTGGCAGAGGTGTGCGATAGCGGTGGCCAACTCACCGGCGCCCTCCGTCATCGGCGAGCCGCAGTTCCACGGTCGCACCATGGCCCTAGACTTACAGTTGCCTATCTGGGGTCGAGTGCGGGCTATCACTAGCCACCTGTTTTCGCATATCGTTCGATGTGAGTGCGCTGGGACCGTTCAGCAGTTACGAGAATGCTTGGTTACCATGCCGATTGATTGCCACGCCATTGTCAGCATCGATGCCCAGGACGGCCTAGGGATGCCTGACGGAGACACTGTGGGCCCTTTCTCTACTTCCGAGATGACCTGGCGAGGCGAGATGCTTCACGACCTTATGACCGAGTTCGATCTGATAGCTGCTACTACTTATTCCCGTGGACAGTGGGGCCAGGCCACCTGCTTCTTTGACAATCACAAGGGGCCCAGGCAGTTCGACTTCATGTTGATCCACCGCGACTGGTTGCCGCGGGCGCACTGCCAGGCCCGCTTCACCGACGCCTCTTCGAGCGACCACCTGCCGCTCCTCCTGCGCTGCCGCGCTGGCCAAGGCGTTCCCGCGATCGATGGCCACACCGAGCTGACACCGATGGAGACCGTTGAGCGACCGCCACGGAAGCCCGTGGGCTGGCAGGTCGAAGACCCCGAGCTGTTCAACTCCACCATCTGCACGTCCCTGGAGATCAGCTACACCCCGCCAGAGGCCGCGATGTACACTGAGGGGAACATGACGAACGCTATGGGGATCTTTACTGACGGCTCTGCTCGGCGTGGACGGGATCGACAGCGACGTCATCGGTTCCATGCGGCTGGCTGGGGTTTCGCACTCTATCACGTAGCCGAGCCGAAAGACCAGGATACCAGTCTTCTGGAGGCCTGTGGTCAGGTCACCACTGACGTGCAGGACCGTCGATATGTGGGCGCGACATGGTTATCGGCGAACACGGGCGAGCTGACAGCCATCGTTGAGGCGCTGCTCTGGCTACTCGGACAGCGTCTACTCGCTCAGCCACTAGTACGGGACGGCACCCGCATCATCGTCAGCACCGACTCCACGCACGTGCGCAACCTGCTGCAGGGTGTCTTCCAGCCGAAGGAGAACTTCGAGCTTGCGACCCTGGCCACCCACCTGTGGCAGCGCTGCCAGACTGCTTATGACATGATCACCAGATGGGTGAAGGGCCACAACGGGAACACGGGCAACGAGCAGGCAGACTACCTCGCTAAGAAGGGCAGTGACCAGCGTTACAGCGACAGCCATTGGAGACGGCCATATCCGACACCTGACTGGGACTCTGCTGGCTTCCAGGACACCTGCGCTGCCCACCGCGCAGCCTGCCGCGCGGAGCGGAAGCGGCGCCAGGCCGACATCCTCAGTGAGGACGCGGGTGCCGCGCTGGGTCTTCACCTGACAGCGCCTACGGCGACAGCCTCCAGCACGCGCCAGGGCATTGCCTCGTTGGGCCTCCTGTCAGCCGCCATTTGCGCGGCCGCCGCGAAGGCTGGCCACGCCCCGCGCCGAGGCCGGTGGAGGCCGCCGCCAGGCGACGCCCAGCTGCTCCAGCTGCAGGCCTTGGAGCGCGCGCGAGCCGCGGAGGAGGACCCGAGAGTGCGACACCTCATGGGGCCCGCGGTCTGCAAGCTGAAGCGGGCTATGAGAGACCGTTGTTCCACTGAGCATCTATCCCGTCTGTGCGAGCGAGGTCGGGCCGAGAAGGCCTACAAGACGGGGCGCCCAGTGCACTGCCTGGACAAGATGGATGGCGGCCAGGCTACCACCAGTGCCGAGCGACTGCAGGAGGCTCATACCTTCTACACTCAACTGCTCCAGGACGCGACCAGTGACCGACAGCTGCCAGATTGGATCCACCAGCAGTGGTCAGCCGAGGAGCAACAACAGTCCGTGCCTTTGAGCCCCCCGCTTCTCCGCATGTGCATCGGCCGCCTCAAGAGCTGCAAGTCCTGCGACGAGACTGACATGATCGTGGGCGAAATGCTCCAGGGGCTGGAGACGGACGTCTTAGAGCACCTGCTGCAGGCCTTCAGACTGCGGCTCAGGAATCACACCTCGGAATATTCCGACACGGCCTGGAGTGGCCACGTGGTTCAGCTCATCCGAAAAGTGCCAGATGCCCGAAAGATCAGTCAGTTCCGCCCGATAGCCCTGATTTCAGTGTTGCAGAAGATACTGAGCATGATGGTGATGGAAACGCAGCGAGGAGTGATCGAATCGTGTCGTAGTGAGAGCCAGTTCGCTTTTCGTAGAGGTTATCAGGCCCACGAAGTCATATATAGCTTGCGCCACTTAGTTGAGAAGTTCTGCGAGTATAAGAACCCCCCGCTCGTCGTCGTGGGCGGAGACATTAGAAAGTTTTATGATTTTATTCAGCACGCCGCTCTGGCCCGTCGCCTCGACAGTCACGGGGTCGCACGCGTAGCTATCTCGTTTTGGATCCGTGAAACTCGCCGTTCTCGGGCCAGAGTCCGTCTCCCTGGGGGCGCCCTCACGGACCAGATTCGGGGTGGGAAGTCTCTCATCCAGGGGGGCCCTGCGGCGCCCGTGCTCAGCAATAGTTTTCTCGACCAGTGTCTTTTCGCTTTCCACGACCTCTGCCGTAAAAAAAGGCTGGGGTCTTTGTTTGACCACCCCTGGAGAGGGGGATGCGGTTTTAGGTATCTTGAGTTTCGCCGATAATTTTTGGATCTTAGCGAGATCGGTCTCGATGGCCGCGATGATGACTGAAGCTTGGCTTCGGATCCTAGAGCGTAGTGGTCTAGAGGTCCCCGTGCAGGAAATGGAGTGGTGCCACACGTATCCGTCACATATCGGCACGCTTCGCGTCCGCGGCACGTGCGTCCCCTGCAGAGCCAGAGCCGAAGGCTTGAAAGTGCTCGGGACTTTTGTCGCCTTCGGTCGCAGCTGCACACACGAGGTCTGCAACAGAATTCAGCGCGCGTGGCGCACCTGGGCCGTTCACCGTGCAATGCTGACCAACCGAAAGATAAGCCTTCAGAAAAGATTGAAGGCCCTGGACCGTTGTGTTCGCCCAGCCCTGACCTATTGCATATGGGAGCCTACGTACTAGCCGGCCGCTCTGCGGTTGATCGGGAGTTTCTGTATATAGAAGAAGGTGCGTGCGCTTGTTGGCGAGGGTGAGGATGAGGTTCCTCCTCCTCCTCCTCCTCCTCCTCCTCCTCCATCCTTCTCTTGCCTCCGTCTGGAAACGGTGCCGGAGGCCGCTCTGGGCTCCTCTGGGCACCTCCCCCGGGGCCGGTTTTGTGAGGATGTCTCCCCCGGGGCGCGGATCCAGCGGATCCACCGGATCTGTCCGGAAACGGTGCCGGAGGCCGCTCTGGGCTCCTCTGGGCACCTCCCCGGGGCCGGTTTTGTGAGGATGTCTCAAGCGAGGGCGCCGGTTTGGGATTCGTCGGATCCAGCGGATCTGTCCGGAAACGGTGCCGGAGGCCGCTCTGGGCTCCTCTGGGCACCTCCCCCGGGGCCGGTTTTGTGAGGATGTCTCAAGCGAGGGCGCCGGTTTGGGATTCGTCACCGGATCCAGCGGATCCACCGGATCTGTCCGGAAACGGTGCCGGAGGCCGCTCTGGGCTCCTCTTTGGTGATGGCGACCGAGAAGGCCGTTCATCACCGAGCTCAACCCGCGCAGCCTGGGGGGTAGGAGAGAGGGGGCGGGAATGGCGGGGGGGGGATCGGGAGGGGATGCCATGCGCATTGGCGGCACACCGCCCGCACTTCTCATCGCGGCGCGTTCTGATGTGATTCGTTTTGGCGGCCCACCGCCCACGTCTTGCAAATTCTGAGCAGTTTTATCGCATTGGCGGCGCACCGCCCATCGCTATGTTTTGCCCGCGTATTGCAATTTGTACGTTTTGCACATGTTGATTGAAGTTTCGTCGCGTTGGCGGTGCACCGCCCACGTTCCCTTGATTGCGCGAATCGTTTCTTCACGCATCGGCGGAGCACCGCCCACGCAGCACGTTTCATCCGAATTCGTCATCGAATTTGGCGGTACACCGCCCACGTCCCCGTGATTGCGCGATGCGTTTCTTTCGCGTTGGCGGTGCACCGCCCGCGGCGCATGCTTCGCCCGAGTTTGTCATCGCATTTGGCGGCCCACCGCCCACGTCACCTTGATTGCGCGAGGTGTTTCTGCATTCGTTGGCGGTGCACCGCCTTCGGCGCACGTTTCATCATATACCGTTTGTTTGGTCGCATTGGCGGCGCACCGCCCAGGAGGGGGGAGGAGGGGAGAGGGGGGAGGAGAGGATAGCAGAAGGAAGACGTGAAGGGCCATGCCATTTCCCTTCGCCACAATACGCTGCCCCTGTCCCACCGAGCGCTTCTGGAGGGGCCGCGGGGCGGGCGCCCCCCGACGCGCCGCGGCGCGATGGAGCGCGTCCAGGCTGCCCTGGGCGAGGCAGCCGCGGCGCTTGCAGCGGCGAGCGGGCCTTCCAGGGGCGCTGCAGAGCAGCTGCACTTCGGGAAGGTGCGCGCGCTCATCGAAGGCCAGAGGTGAGGCTCGGGTCAAAGATCCCGTACGGGCGAGAGGCCATCCGTTCCCCCTTCGAGGAGGTCCCCGCCTCCGTTCGGCGGAACGCCGCCCGCTCCCCCCTCCTCCCCGCCGTCTAACATTCCCCCGTCGTTTTGCAGGTGGACGGCCACGGAGAAAGGGCAGCTGCTGACCCAGCTCGGGCAGACGGGGTTCAGTCACGATTTGGTCGGCGCCGCGACCGAGTGGCTCTGCGGGAGGCGCACGAAGGCCA